TGCGCGTTGCGGCCCGCGCCCCGCGCGCTCGTGCTCGATGCGCACCCGGCCCTGCGCCTGCACTCGGCCGCCTTCCGTCGCGCCCCCGCCGCTGCCGAGACGCCCTGCGCCTTCGCCTTCCCCGCCCCCGGGCCCGCGCCGCCGCCCCCGCTACCCGCCTTCCCGGAGACGCCCGGCGCCGAGCCCGCCTGCTGCCCGCTGGCCTTCAGGGTGGACCCTTTCACCGACTACGGCTCCTCGCTCACCGTCACGCTGCCGCCCGAGCTGCAGGCGCACCAGCCCTTCCAGGTCATCCTGCGCTACACCTCTACTGACGCCCCCGCCGTGAGTCCAGGGGTGCACCGGGGCTGCGGGCCGATCCGCGGGGACTCTCCTGGCGGCGTCTCGTTGCGCTGCCAGGCCAAGGGACGCGAATCCGCACCCTGCACCTGAGCAGGCAGCGTGGGTCTGGGCCACTTGCAGAGAAGTAGAGGCAGGCTGGCTCTGGAGTGCAGTCCAGATGCTTTTGGTGATTCCTACCTGTTGCTGTCCAGCCCTTGGGAGCATTGCTTAGACCCCGGAGTCCTGGCCCGGTGGGGTCAGGGAACAGCATGTCACCGGAGATGCCTCCCGTTGAGGTGTTCTGTCCGTGGCTGCGGACAGCTTCTTGCACTTGCCAAGCTGCACATCTGCTGGAGCCTGGCACCGAGGGGTGGGCTGGAGTGTCAGATGCTGAAGGACCTCTGTGTGACCCTGGCCTTGAGAGGGCTTGAGGACACCTGGGTCTGTTTTCTGGAGGTGGAATGAGGGACAGATGAGTCCATGCAGGAGGTAGAGGACAGGGCTAGGTAGGTAGGCTGTGATGCTTGGCTTTGGGCTCTCTTGACTGGCTGGGTGCTGAGGCCAGTAGACCCCACAACCCCAGCACAGACACTCATAGGTTCTGCAGGGCTTTGGCTACCAGGTACCCAGCATCCCAGACGACTTGCAGAAAGACCAGGTAGCCCAAGATGAGCACTGACTGCAGCACCCCCCTCTACCTCCGGCTTTTAGAGTGGAGCAGGGTCTTTCCTTCCCGTGACATGGGGGTTCACATGATCCCCAAATGGTATGGACAGCACACATGCCACAACCAACACACATACACAGCCCTGGGAGGTCCATCTGTCACTGCCCATGGCACGCAAGTGGACAGGGTGTTGTTGGAGAGGTGTCAGGCCAGGGATCACAAAGGGCAGGAAGAATCCAGACCAGATGCACACCTGTGGCCTTCCTGCACATGTCCCAGGAGCCCTGAGCAGGACCTGCCACCTCAACTTCTTCTCAGAGCCCCTGTGGGTGTGCGGTACTCTAGGGCTCTGACAAGTGGTGGATATGTCTCTCTGCAAGACAAGCGAGAACTGAGGAATGGGCTTCTCCCTGGCTTTCACCTGTGAACTTGGAGCCCATGTATCTGCTCCACCCGAGACTATGACCTGCAGAGTGGTGGGACTGGGGCCCTTAACAGGCTGATGTGGACAGTCCAGATGAGCAAGTGTGGCCTTTGTTTCCGGACTGTCCATGGCCTGCTAAGTGACCTTTGGGTACTCTTGCCAGGAAGGGTGGCGTGATCACAGTCTTAGTGGCAGGGTTGGCAGCCTAGGGACAAGGGTCCTGGCTTGCTGTGGCCTATGAGTTGGCCCACCTGCAGAAGTCAGAGTGTTTTTGGCTCTAACCTTGAGCACCCACCATTGCACATGAGCGCTACTGTGGAACACTTGTCTCTGTGCCAGGGAAGATGTAGCAGAAGCTCTCTGGGCTCCCTGGGAGGCCCTATCCATGGGCCTGAAACCCCCAGAGGCAGTTTGGAGATGCTGCAGACTCTGGGGCCCATGCCTTTTGCACCCCATTCCTGCACCCCCATCCCACCCCCCACCCCAGCAAGAACAGCTTTCTTCTTGCCCTGCAGTGAGTATCTAGAGTCTCTAGGCCAGTTTTTTCTCTGCCAACCTGATAGCAACTGCTCCCTGAGTTCCTGGGCATGGGTTGGTGACCTACCTGTGGGACAGGGCCCAGCCTGTGGAAAGGAGAGTCTGCCCCAACTCCTCACTCTGAGGGATGACCATGGACCCCATTGGTCTCTGGGAAGACAGGCAGCCCACCAAAGTTTCAGGGTGGACATGAGCAGTGTGGAGAGGAGGCCAGAGCTGGGCAAAGCCTGAGAAGGGCCTCAGGGAGGGTAGGGGGAGACTACAGGAGTGGAGCAGGTGTGAGTGGGGAAGTGCAGCTTGAAGGGCATTTGGGAAACCATGGGGGTCTGTCCTGCCAGCATAGGCCAAACACCACCTGCAGCAGATCCACTCCTCAATACAGATTCCTGGGTCTTGGCCCTGTGGAGCCTGGAGCTCTGGGGCGGGGCCCTGGAGGGAGGCTGCATTGTTGAACAGGCTTCCCAGACTGGCCTAAGTCTGAACACCTGGGGCAGCCTAGAGGCTTAGCAGGAAAGGAAGACACCTCTGCAGACTTGCTGCCATGAGCGGGCAGGGACAGGGCAGCCAAAGGAAGTTTTCAAGAGGTCCGTGAAAGCTGGCAGGGATCTGGCTGGGTCTGGGAGAAAGGCAGCCCTTCTGGGTCTGGGATCCACCACCTCCATAGTGGCCATCATCCGTTCGTCCACTCTTAGAGGAGTGTCAGGAAGTGTCTTACCTTTGTGGTCCTGGGGGGAATCTGTGTGCACTTGGTCACTGAAGTGGATGTGGAGCAATTTAGTTTGCTTCGACGATCTTGTCCTGGCAGAGGGGAGGGTTGGAAGTGAGGCTCAGGGCCAACTCGGGACGACTGTGACATGGCTGCTGTTGGAAGAGAGTCCTCCTCCCAGACTCATTGGAAAGGTCAGAATTCCTGGGTGGAAGGTGAGACGGGGCATGGCAAGATGGCGATGGACCAGACTGCAGGAAGGCTCTCGGTGGGGCGGGAGTCTGGCCTTGGCATATGAGGGCAAGGAAAGCCTCAACAGCGATGGTATGGGTGAGAGGTGGGCAACAGGCACCAGCCGCCAGGAGCACACCTATTCTACAGTGCTCGCTATAGCCCCTGGCCTCCACTCATTGCTCACTGTCCCTGGCCTGTCTCCCTTTGGAGTCCCCTCTGGCAAGGGGACTCGCATCTTGGGTGGCCCTGGGCTCAGGCCTGCTACTCCCTGCCAGCATGTGTGACCAGAAAGCTCTGGTTTCTGAACATTTCCATATTCTGGCTCCCTTTCCTAGCTAAGACCAAACTGACTGCATGCCTGTAGGAATTTGGACTCAGGGTGTTCTGACCATACCTTGGTTTCCCTCTGGAAGCTTGGGTAATGCCATTGTTGGTTTTTTTTTTCCCTTCCTTTGCCCCAGCATGGGCTGGGAGATTCCCTCTGCTGACTCCCCACACATGGCCCTCCTTCTACCTGGAACGAGGGCTGAACCTGGTGATGCATCTCAGGTCACACTCTGGGTCACCTATCCCTGTTGTTCCCCTGCCCAGGTGGGCAAATAAAGGCTGCAGGAGTGGCTGTTGGCCCTTGATGAGCTCAATGAGATCAATCAGGCCATTGGGCCCTCCCAGAGCCTCGCTACCTGGCAGCTGGGCCTAGAACCTGAGCCGGGTGGCCATCTGCTGATGCACCACCCTGCCCACAGATCTGGTGGCTGGACCCGGAGCTGACCTATGGCTGTGCCAAGCCCTTCGTCTTCACCCAAGGCCACTCTGTGTGTAACCGCTCCTTCTTCCCATGCTTCGACACGCCCGCAGTGAAGTGCACCTACTCAGCCGTCGTCAAGGTCAGGGTCTACATATCATCCTTGTCCCACTCCTGGGCCAGCCCTGCCCACCCTCTGCCTCCTGGGATGCCACAAAGAGGGTTGAGCCCAGCGACCTGGCTGGACCTCCTCCTCACTTCCACTTGCCTAGACTGTGGCCCCAGCTGCCACCAGGCTACAGTCCTAGGAACCCACCTTCCCCACTGTCCAGTGAAAGGGCAGGCCAGGGTACCCCCAATGCAACTGACAGGGTCCAGATCCCAGACCCAGGGTGGAGCCCCTATGGAGTTTCAGAGGTTCCTAACAAGGGAGATGGAGATGCTGATTCTTGGTAGGGACTGTGGGTCACTGGACCCAAGCTTGGCAGCACTCCTTCCAACTGGGTAAGAGGTTTAAAGACTGGGAGCTTGGGGTTTCCAGTGTAGGATGGGGGTTCTTTGATTGGATGAGAGAATCTCTGACAGAACTGTGATTCCCTGACCCAGATTGTGGGGCTCCCTGATAGGGGTTGTGTTGTTCCTTGTAATAGATGTGGTGTTCATTGACTCAGGTTAGGGGGTTCTCTGGTGGGGGATATGTGGTTCCTTGTTGTAGATATGGGGTTCTTGGTCTGGGTTGTGGGGCTCCCTGATGGGGGGCATGGGATTCTCTTATCCAGGTTATGGGTTTCTCTGATGGAGGGTGTGGGGTTTCCTGATGGGAATGTGGGCTCCCTATCATGGATATGGAGTTCCCTGACCCACATTGTGGTTTCCTGATGGGGGTATGGGATTCTCTTATTGAGGATGTGGGGTTTCCTAGACATGGAGTTCCCTGACCCAGGTTGTGGATTCCCTTACACCAGGGATGTAGATGTGGGGTTTTCTACTGTGAATATGGGGCTCTCTGACCAGGGGCATTGGGTTACCCATTAAAGACATGGGTTTCCCTAGACCCGGGATGTGGGTCCCCTGGTGGTGGGCTACCTGGTCCTCAGTCCAGCCTCCTCGCAGGCCCCATCAGGAGTGCAGGTGCTGATGAGTGCCACCCAGAGCACATATGTGGAGGAGGAAGGTGTCTTCCACTTCCACATGGAGCACCCCGTACCCGCCTACCTCGTGGCCCTGGTGGCCGGAGACCTCAAGCCGGCGGACATCGGGCCAAGGTAGAACCTCCTCCCTCTTGCTTCCTCCCACTGCTGTCCAGGGCCACCAAGGACTGGGCCTGCAACCTTCATCACAGCTGCCCTACTGAGGACCCCCACTGGCCTCCAGGTGCCTTGGGCCTTGGTGCCACTGCCAGGGTCACCCCTGCCAGGTCTTCCTCGCCCATGTGCCCTCAGACCCTGCACCCTAGCCTGCTCAGTGCCTGCCCTGCTAGCCTGTCCTCACCACCAAGACCACCTCACAGCTTGGCACACCCTCACACCCTCGTGGATTCCTTCAATACAGGGACAAAGAAAACTAAATGAGCCCCTCAGAATAAGGCTCTGCTCTCAATGCGGGAAGTATCAGCGTGGGGGCCTATCCAGTGAGGCAGCGGGCGGGCTGTAGGCTGGGCTGTCAGCCAGGCCTGATAAGATGTGGGTGTTGTTGGAGCCCCAGAGGCAGTGGGAGGGCCTGGTAGGGTGAGTGAGACCCGTCTGCCTCAGCCCACCTTCTCTGCCCTGTGAAAGGAGCCGTGTGTGGGCTGAGCCGTGCCTTCTGCCCATGGCTACCAGCAAGCTGTCGGGCGCAGTGGAGCAGTGGCTGAGTGCAGCCGAGCGGCTGTATGGGCCATACATGTGGGGCAGGTAGGTCCTGAGGTACTGGAGCCAAGGCTGACTGGAAGAGGGAAGCGATGGGGAGCACCCTGTCTGACTCCTGGGTGCCCTGCCCCCATCTGCTGGGGAGGAAGTGATGTTCACTGCTTCCCCCTGGGTTGGGGGGTGATGTGAGGGTCCTGGGACAGGAGCTGAGCCCCAAGGCCCACCACCCTCACCACCACCCTCATCCCCGGTGTAGGTATGACATTGTCTTCCTGCCACCCTCCTTCCCCATCGTGGCCATGGAGAACCCCTGCCTCACCTTCATCATCTCCTCCATCCTGGAGAGTGATGAGTTCCTGGTCATTGATGTCATCCACGAGGTGGCCCACAGCTGGTTTGGCAATGCTGTCACCAATGCCACTTGGGAGGAGATGTGGCTGAGTGAGGGCCTGGCCACCTATGCCCAGCGTCGCATCACCACTGAGACATATGGTATGGCCCACGGGGAGTAGGGGAGTGGCCACCAGACGTCCCAGGCACTGTGCGAGGGGCTCCAGGGTAAGGTCCCCCCGCCATGCTGCAGATGCCCAGGCTTCCCCCTGCATCTCCCTCCCTTCTCTGCTTCCCCCTGCTTTCCCCAAGCTCCCTTTACCCTCTCTCATCTCTCCCCTGCCTCTCCAACCCCATCCAGGTGCTGCCTTCACCTGTTTGGAGACAGCCTTCCGTCTGGATGCTCTGCACCGGCAGATGAAACTTCTGGGAGAAGACAGCCCGGTCAGCAAGCTGCAGGTCAAGCTGGAGCCAGGTACTGCTCTGGGACCCCTGTGGATGTCCCCCTAATGGCCTTCTTGCTTGCCCTTCATTTGCTCCAGCTGGGGCTTTTCTGTCCCCCACCATGCCTGGAATCCTGCCAAGGCCAGGCTGAGCACCCCTGGCTCAGGGGAGACCTCCCCAGGCTCCCTCAGCCTGCTGCTGCCTTATGGGCTCTGAGCACCAGTCACCATGGTGTGTGGGTTCTCAGTCTCCCCCAGGACCCCCTGGGCAGGGCAGGCCCCATCACCATACTCCCAGGGGAGCAGTGGCCCTCAGCCCTTCCAGCTCCTCAGTGCCTGACCACCACCCCTGTGCATCCCCCGGAACACAGTCAAGTTTGGGTGCCAGTCCAGACAGGGTGTCCCCTTGCAGGAGTGAATCCCAGTCACCTGATGAACCTGTTCACCTACGAGAAGGGCTACTGCTTCGTGTACTACCTGTCCCAGCTCTGCGGAGACCCGCAGCGCTTTGATGACTTTCTCCGAGTAAGCCCCCTGCCCAGGACAGGCCTGCCCAAGCCTCTCCCCAGCTCACAGTGCCACCCCTTCTCCTGGTGGTAGAGGGGTGGAGTTGTTGGGGGCTTGGGAGCCCAGCTAGGACCTGGCCTGTCTTTCTTTGGGGCTACGCCTGGGGTGGCTTCTCCCTCTTCCCACCCTTCCTGTTTCAGCCACTCAGCAGGGGCCATGTGATGGGTACTGCCTCTACAGTGCCCACTCGCTCACTACCTTTACCCCTGCAATGGTCCCAGCAGGCCCCTCGGCATATACCCTAAAGTGCTGTGCAGGCCTCAGCTCTGCTGGCGCTGCATGTGCGCTATTCCTCCAGGCCTGCTGAGGCCCTGCCTCTGCCACACAGGCCTATGTGGAGAAGTACAAGTTCACCAGCGTGGTGGCCCAGGACCTGCTGGACTCCTTCCTGAGCTTTTTCCCAGAGCTGAAGGAGCAGAGTGTGGACTGCCGGGCAGGTGAGGCTGACCCCCCCTGCTGTGGGCTGGGAAGCAGTGGATGGGAAGACGGGTAGGGCCTCTGCTGCCCAAAACACTGGCTCTGCCTGGAGAAAAGCCCTGTAGGTTTATTACACCTTCCTTCAGCCAGTCCTGATTGGACTGTGCAGGCCCTGGACCCAGGAACCATGAGAACAAAGAGCAGGGTAGGCGGTCTGGAGGAGCTGGCACTAGGCTAAGCAGGCAAGTTAGGCAACAGGAAGAGGACCATGGAAACACAGGAAGAGGATGTGCAAAGAGTCTGGGGCAGGATGGGCAGAGTAAAGGGAATGGCAGAAGCCAGCTGGCCCTGTTTGTGCATTGCTGTGAGGGCATGCATCCCTGAGGGCCTGAGGGTTTGGGAGCTCAGTAAGGCCCTGGAGGATTCTAATATCAATGGAGAGCCCAGAATTGCTGGAGGGGCGTAAGATGCCACTGAACGGGCTGAGCGTGGTGACTCTAAGTTTTGGAAGGTACAATAAGTGCACCACGGATTTTTGGAGGTGAGGGATGGGCAGAACCTGCCCCCACATTTGCCTGGCATCACCTCTTTTTTTTTTTTTGAGTTGGAGTCTCACTCTGTCGCCCAAACTGGAGTGCAAGGGCC